CCGTTACCGGTCAGTAAAAAAGACAAAAAGGAAAAAAAAAAAAGATGTCTGAATTGTCAGTCAAGTGACTCATTTTATTTGTGTTTGAACAAATACACAGCAACAAATAAATATGGCTAAATCTTAGTTTTAATTTGGTTATTGAATGTAGGTGGTAAGTGTACAAATATTGATTTTACTTTCCTATCAGCTTCTCCGATTCTTTGATAATTTTTCATAAGTAATACTTTTAATTTATGCTTTAAATGAAGATTTCTGAAGAACGTTTTTAGAAGATAGAAGTAAATATGAGTCTTAATGGTCTGTGGTAATGTGAATGTTAATGTGACATTTTTTGCTTAAACTTGACCTTTTATGCTGTGTTGGTGAATAAAAATGAAATAAGAATTAAATGATATGAATCTTCTGTTTAAGAAAGTTTATTACTGTTCTGTAGCTAAGATTTCTAATATAACTGACCTTTTTATTATTTCAGTTTCAGTAACATAATATCAGATATGAAAGTTGCCAGATCTGCAGCTAGAGTTAGTGCAAGACCAATGCATCAGTTTCAGTTTGACGAAGGATTTGACAATTCTTTTGACCAGGAGGAGACTGCCAATCTTAGAAAAAGGTATCAGGCTTTTCAGCGTACTGGGTTTTCTGTGGTTTGCTTTTACATTAACTGTAGATTTACTTTATTGCTTGTGCATATTATTGCTGGTAGGTGTCTAAGCATAATGGATGCAGTTAGATCTGTTTTCTTACTCTCTGTACACCATTTTCTAGTAAGGGAAAGATGTTCTGGGTTTAGGAGTCCTATATTTTTCTGTACCATAAGTCAAAATGGACCCTCCCTCACCTCTACTCATGCTCAGTAGAAGTCCCCTGATTTAAATAAGAGCTGGCTGAATTCTGAACAAATGAACGTTTTGCGAGAAGCATCATTTTTAATTCTGATTGTCAATGCTTAATACTGTATATTGATATGCCCTTTATATTTCTGTAAATGGTCATCTTTCATCATACCTTAGAGAAACAATTATCAAAAAAAAAAAGAAAGGCAAAAGGAAAAAAGTCCATGTAATACTTTAAAGTGGTAGGTTATTTGCGGCAATTCTAACTTGCCAGTTTGCAATTTTTAAAGATGCTAAGTCATGCCTTATATAGTTATCTTATAATCAAAAGTTATTCTGTGTTTACATAAAGTTTCTGTTCTTTCTCTTCATTAAGCCCAGAAAGCGGTAAGTTGGGGAGGAGGAACCAGATGTTTGGCAAGGTCTGAGAAAAACTAATTTATCCTTATAGTTAGGATGTGCTCACAATTTGTTATGTATTCCCTGGACTTTGTTTTAAGTACACTCTCAGGAACTTGAGCTAACTCCTTCCAGAAGTTAAATTACTGATTTGTATTGGAAGACTGGAAAAGGACAGCAGTAACACAGAAGTTCAAGAGGATACAGTGACTTTGGAAGATTATTTGAATTGCTAATTTAAGATGATTTAGTATCTGTGACATATTCTTGAATAAAGTAGAAAATACACTTGGAGTTTTACTCAAGAATATTTAACTGAATCAATCTTCTTTTAAATGGTTTTGTGCAACCACATCGGAATGGTGATTTTTAATGAAATTAGCTGCCATTAAAAATTAGAAGGTGTCAAGGGGAAAATAAAAATGTAGGAAAGGGCTTTCTGTGCATACAATGACTGTGTAAAAAAGCTGATGAAGGGGAATAAGGGGACACAAAATGGTGAGATAACCAATTTCATTCCCCTTGTTATGACTTGGGCAGGATATGGGGCAGCCTGACAAGGCAGGCCTGGACTGATTCCTTCAGTTAGAGGCTGAGAGGAGTGAGACATGGAGCACTGTCTTTAGAGGCACACTAACTTGCCTCAGAATCTTGGCACTGCCACTGACTAATTCCGTGACTGGGGCAGCTTTTATAGATTCCATCAGTCTCTTTCTCCATTTATAAAGTGCTGAAAGTGAAACCAAAAAAGAAACACCTGAAAACCATCTAAAAAATAGTAGGTGCTCAGCAAATGTTCATTCCCTTCCTTTTTAGTATATTCCTCTTTTAAAGTTT